CGCTCAACCGACTGAGCCACCCAGGCACCCCTTTATTTATTTATCTTGAGAGAGAGAGAGAGAGCTCGCGTGTGTGCATGCGTGAGTGCGCATGCGCGCGCGCGCACACACACACACACACACACACACACACACACACGTGAGCAGGGGAGGGGCAGAGAATGAGGGAGAGAGAGAATCCCAAGCAGGCTCCACCCTGTCAGCACAGAGCCCAACATGGGCACGGTCCCACAAAGCGTGAGATCATGACCTGAGCTGAAGTGAAGAGTTGGATGCTTAAAAGACTGAGCCACTCAGTCACCCCATGAATAGACATTTTCTAAAGAAGATATACAAATGGCCAATAAGCGTAAGAAAAGATGCTCAAGATTACACAGGAAATACAAATAAAAATTACATTAAGATCCTACTTCACACCCACTAGGATAGCTATAATAAAAAAGATAAGACTATAACAAATATTGGTGAAGATGTGGGGAAATTGGAATTCTTATACACTGCTGATGGGAATATTATATGGAACAACTGCTTTGGAAAACAGCCTGGCATTTCTTCAAAAGGGTAAACAGAGAGTTAACATATGACCCAGCAATTTCACTCCTAGGTACATACCCAAAAGAAATGAAAACATGTCCACACAAAAAGTTTGCATTATTCAAAATAGCCACAAAGTGGGAACTACCAAATGCCCCTCAATTGACGAATGGAAAAACAAAACGTGGTATAATCCATGCAATGAAATATTATTTAGCCACAAAAAAGAGATAAAACACTTACCTATGCTATGATAGGCTTGAGTCTTGAAAATATTATGCTAAAGTGAAAGAAGCCAGATGCAGAAGACCACATATTTTATGATTCCATTTGCATGAAATGTACCGGATAGGCAAATTCTTAGAGACAAAAAGTAAATTAGTAGTTGCCAAGAGGCTGGGGGCTAAGGGAATGGAGAATGACTACTAATGGATATGGGGTTTCTTTTGGGGAGATAAAAATGTTCTGAAATTAGACAGTAGTGATAATTGCATAACTTTGTGAGTATACTAAAATTCACTGCACTGTACACTTTAAAAGGGTGAATTTTATGGCAATGTAAATTATACTCCCATTTTTTTTTAAAGAATAAATGTAATTCTACATAGGTAAGAACTGTGTGCTGAAAACTACAAAACATTGCTGAGACAAATTAAAGACCCAAATAAATGGAAATATATAGACCATGTTAAGACATTGGTGGACCCAATATTGTTAAAATATAAATTCTTCCTCAATTGATCTGAACATTCAATGCCATTCCAATCAAAATCCAGGGACGCCTGGGTGGCTCAGTCGGTTAAGCGGCCAACTTCAGCTCAGGTCATGATCTCGCGGTCCGTGAGTTCGAGCCCCGCGTCGGGCTCTGTGCTGACAGCTCAGAGCCTGGAGCCTGTTTCAGATTCTGTGTCTCCCTCTCTCTGACCCTCCCCGTTCATGCTTTGTCTCTGTCTCAAAAATAAATAAACGTTAAAAAAAAAATTCAAAATCCTACATGGCATTTTTGTCAAAACTGACAAGCTCATTCTAAAATGTATATAGGGGAGTACCTGGGTGGCTCAGTCGGTTAAGTTTCCTACTCTTGGTTTCAGCTCAAGTCATGACCTCATGGTTTGTGAGTTTGACCCGTGTGTTGGGCTCTGCCCCGTCAGCGCAGAGCCTGCTACAGTGCAGAGCCTGCTTAGGATTCTCTCTCTCCCCCCCTCTCTCTGCCCCTCTCCTGCTCAGGTTTGCTCTCTCTCTCTCTCAAAAATAAATAAATACACGTTAAAAAATAAAATATATATGGGAATGCAAAGGACCTAGAACAGTCCAAACAATTTTAAAAAAGAAAAACAGAGTTGGAAAGGTTTTCTTTCTGATTTTATGACTTACAATAAAACAACAGCATGGCATTATTTAAGAATAAACGTAGATTAATGGAACAGAATAGAGTCCAGAAACTGAGCTGTATAACTATTTTTTGCTAAAGGAGCCAAAGTAATTCGATAAAGAAATAACTCTCTTTCCAATAAATGGTTCTGGAATAATTGGATATACATTTGGAAATAAATGAACCTCAACCCTTACATCACACTATATACAAAAATGATCTCTGTTGGTTCATAAATCTAAATGTAGAAGCTCAAACTATAAAACCTTTAGAAGAAAAGAGAGGAGAAATATTTTGTGTCCTTGGTTCTTAGATGGCTTTTATGTCCTATCATAAAATTATAAAAGAAAACTTTGATGAATTGGGATCCATCAAAATTTTAAAACAACTACTCTTCATAAAACACTGTTTTAAAAGACGAAAAGAAGCCACAGACTGAGAGAAAATATTGAAAATACATCTATCTAATGAAGGACAGTTATCCAAAAAATAGAAAGCATTCCTACAACTTAATATAAATAACTGAATTAAAAACGAGCAAAATATTTGAACAGAGGTTTCATAAAAGAACATACACTAATGGCCAATAAACACATCAAAACATACTCATTGTCATTAGATACTCTCAAAAGTCAAATTAAAAGCACCGTGAGATACCATTACGTGTCCACTAGAATGTCTAGAATTTACAAGACTGACAATAACAATGTTGTTGAAGATGAGGAAGCAACTGAAACTTCCATACCATCGTCAATGGGAATGTAAACTAGTACTACTACTTTGGAAAGCAGTCTGGCAGTTTTTTATACAGTTAAACATGCACTGACTCTATGACTTGATAATTCCACTACTAGGTATTTATCCAAGATGAAAAAAAAAAAACCTGGTATGAGGATACTAGTGACAGCTTTATTTTATAACAGTCAAAACCTGAAAATAATCTGAATGTTCTATCAACCAGTGGGTAGACAAATAGTTTATGGTATATCCGCATACAGGGATATTACTCAGCAATATAAAACATGAACTCTTGACACAGGCAGCAACATGGATAAATCTCAAAAGCATCATTTCAAGTGAAAGAAGCCAAACACAAAAAAGTATATACCAGATGATTCTATTTATTAGAAATTCTAGAAAACGTATTATAACAGAAAGTGGTGGAGTGGGGACAGGGCAGGGAGGGGTGTGATGGCAAAGGGGGAGGGAGCTAATGAATATGTTAGGCTAATGAATGTGTTTTCTTTCTTGATTGCAGTGGTCGGTTGTGGTTATACAGGTGTATGCACCTGTCAAATCTCATTGAACTCAACTCTTAAAATATGTATGTCTGTATTGTATTAGGTATTTCAATCAAGCTATTTTATAAAACAAATACAAATAACTTTTAAACATATGAAAAATGCTCAGTCTTACTGTAAATAGATAAATAAACATGAAAACTACATTTGGATACCCATTCTCAGCTCTCATTTAGTAAAAACGCAAAATTTTGACAATATATTCAGTTGGTGAATTTTTTACCAAGTGGTTTTCACATGCATTGCTGAAGGAGAGGAAAATGGTATAATTCTCTCTGAGGGATATCGGGCAATATCTACCCAAATTACAGATGTATCTAATCTCTAATCCCATAATCCCATTTCTGTGACTCTATCCTACAGAAACACCTGCATACATGTGCAAAAGACTAGAAACAACCCAAGTGTTCATCAGAGGAGACTGGTTAAATGTAGCACATCCACACAATAGAAAGCTACACTGCTCTAAAGAATGAGGAAGACTTGGAGCGCCTGGGTGGTTCAGTTGGTTGAGCGTCTGACTTCAGCTCAGGTCATGGTCTTGCAATTTGTGAGTTCAAGCCCCATGCTGGGCTCTGTGCTAACAAACAGCTCAGATCCTGGAGACTGCTTTGGATTCTGTGTCTCTCTCTCTCTGTCTCTCCCCCTCCCCTGCTCATGCACTGTCTCTCTCTGTCTTTCAAAAATAAATAAATGTTAAAAAAAAATTAAAAAGACAAAAGAATGAGGAAGACTTTTTTTGTATGATACAGAAGGATTTCTCTTTTGTATGATACAGAAGTAAAAAGAAAAAGAAATCAGGAAAGGAGGAAATCTGAGTAAATATTCAAATTTCTTACATTTGCATAAAGACATACTGGAAGGATAAGTAAGAAACTAATCAAAATAGTTATTAATAATCAACTTGCTTGTAACTAGAGCCCTACTGAGTGTTTGGGGAATGATTTTGGTAAAAGTTACTGCAGTCTTGATTGTAAATTCCTTCTTTTCTTTCCTCCACTCCTCATTCCCTGCTTTTCTTCCTTTCTTTCCTACAAAAATGTACTGCTTGTATGGAAAAGGGTTTTGGAAGACAAGAAAGGACACTAACTCCTTGGGTCAGAACCGAGAAATTCTGTAGCTGTAGTTTCCATGATACCTAAGAGGTCTGGGCTATAGGGCCCAGGGAGCTACAATAAAAACAGCTCTCATGAATGAGACCCCTCAGCAACAAGGGATGTCACTCATCTTAAGTATATAAGAGGAAAGCCCCCCAAAGCAGTCTAGCTCCTTGCCCTGAGTGTCTGAAACAGCCCTATCTAACACATACTGGCTCCTGCTTCATTCCAGCCCTAAAGCCGATCACTTTGTCCACCGCTTCAGATGCTGATCACACTGAAAAGACTAGACACTGTACATGGCGTCTAGGCCTTTCTCGTTCTCTACCCTGGTTTATTACTTTAAGTGTGGCTCCAACTACCCCCTCTCCCACCATTGGTTGATTCTATAAATCAACTTCATTGTGATGATTTAAAATGCTCAAATTGGTTGTCTCTTTGTAAGATTCCTTTCCTCTTTTCTTTAAAAGAAATAATCCATCACATTCTTCACATACATTTCCCCTGTGGGGAAGAAGTGAACAGAAACACATCCTCTGCACCCCAATTTCTTCCTCTACTCTAATTGGCTGAGCAATAGAAAAAGAGGCAATAAGAGGAGAGTAATAAATGATCAGCACCAATCACTCTGGTATACTCTGCAAAAATGGGACTCACTTCAAAATATGAAACCAGACAGAATAGACTTTCAAATACCTGTTCTCTCTGTTCAGCACCCACAGTTTTCCCAGGGGAGTGGTTTCCAAGTTGCTTATTCTCTTGAGATTCATGAATCTTTCCTTTGAGACTTTCAACCTTAAATACAAAAGTATTTTAAATATGAGAGTACGGGGTTGGGGAGGGGGTTTTCTTTGCTATTAAAAGGTACTAGTAATACATGAATACATTCTTCACGAAAAAAATTCAACTAACACACATAGGTTTATAGAGTAAAAAGTGGCTCAGTGGGTTAAGCTTCTGACTCTTGATCTTGGCTCAGGTCATGATCTCATGGTTCTTGAGCTCCAGCCCTGAGTCGGGCTCTGTACTGACAGGGCAGAGCCTGCTTGGGGTTCTCTGTCTCCCATTCTCTCTGCCCTTCCCCCACTCACACGCTCTATCTCAAAATGAATAAACTTAAAAAAAATGATATTATCCTATCATAACCTTACGCCACAATCCCTTTTCCCTTTCCAGAAACAACACTGTGTGGGATGTACCCTTCTTGAATTTTATCATGCAGGTGTATATATGTACATGCATGTATTAAACATATAAGTATATGTCAGTATTAAATATATAAATTTACAAAGACTAAGACAACTTGAACAGTCATTGTTTATTCATGCTTATGATTACATTTAAAAATTATGATAAAACCTACGTAACACAAAATTTACCATGTTGACCTTTTTAAAAAAGTTTTATTTATTTATTTATTTTGAGAGAGAGAGAGCATGAGACAGCATGAATGGGAGAGGGGCAGAGAGAGAAGGAGAGAGAGAATCCCAAGCAGGCTCCACACTGTCAGCATAGTGCCTGATTTGGGGCTCAATCCCATGAACAGTGAGATCATGGCCTGAGCTGAAATCAAGAGTTGGACGCTCAACCAACTGAGCCACATGGGCGTCCCTACCATGTTGACCATTTTTAAGCACACAGTTCAGTACTATTAAGTACATTCACATTATTATGTAACTATCACCATCATCAGTCTCCACAATTCTTTTCATTTTCCAAAACTGAAACTCTTTACCCATTAGATAAGAACTCCCTATTCTGTCCCTCTCTTTCCCCCCAGCCCCTGGCAACCACCATTCTATTTTCTGTCTCTGTGATTTTGCTACTCTAGGTACCTCATATAAAGGGAATCATACACTATTTGTCCTTTTGTGACTAACATTTTAATTAACATAATGTCTTCAAGTTTCATCCCTGTTGTAGCACAGGTCAGAATGCCCTTCAGGCTGAGTAATATTCCATTTTGTTTATCTATGTATTCCAAATGTATGTGCCACATTTTGTTTATCTATTCATCCATCAAGGGACACTTGCATTGCTTCAACCTTTTGGATGTTGTGGATAACACTGCTGTGACATGAGTGTGCAAATCTGTTCAAGTCCCTGCTTTCAATTCTTTGGGTATATACTCAAAAGCAGAATTGCTCAATCATATGGTAATTCTACATTTACTTTTCTTTTTTAAAATTTTTTTATAACATTTATTTATTTTTGAGACAGAGAGAGACAGAGTATGAACGGGGGAGGGTCAGAGAGAGGGAGACACAGAATCTGAAACAGGCTCCAGGCTCTGAGCTGTCAGCACAGAGCCCGACATGGGGCTCGAACTCACGGACCGCGAGATCATGACCTGAGCCGAAGTCGGCCGCTCAACCGACTGAGCCACCCAGGCGCCCCTACATTTACTTTTTAAAGAAAGTACCATGCTGTTTTCTATAGTCACTGCAATACTATTTTTCATTCTCAATAACAATGCACAAGGGCTCCAATTTCTCCATATTACTGTCAACATTTTTTTTTCTGTTGTTTTGATAACAGCCATCCTCTTGGGTATTTATTCATTCTTGCAACAAAATTACTTGAGCAATTAGTTTATGTGGGCTGTTGTGTGAGACACTAGAGATATGACTGTAAAATGAATATAAACTAAAATTGAAGAGACATATATCCAGAACTTACAAGTCCATATTAAAAATCAATAAATACAGGGGTGCCTGGGTGGCTCAGTAGGTTGAGCATCCAACTTCAGCTCAGGTGATGATCTCACAGTTGGTGAGTTTGAGCCCTTCATTGGGCTCTGTGCTGACAGCTCAGAGCCTGGACCCTGTTTCAGATTCTGTGTCTCCCTCTCTCTCTGCCCCTCCCCCACTCATGCTCTGTCTCTGTCTCTCTCAAAAATAAACAGCCATTAAAAAAACTAAAAATTAAAAAAATCAATACATTACTAAAAAGAAATAATTCAACAATGTGGCACAACTCAAATTTATCCAATATAATAGAATAATAATTTCTATTTGCTAAATTAAGTGTAAACTGGTATCTAAATCCTTATTAAAAAGGTCCTAAACTGACATAAGAGCAGTAACATTACTGTTTAGCACAGGCAGCTAAAATGTATAAAATATAAATACTGATAGGTCATCTAAGTCACAGTATGGCATCTATCTGGGATGCTATAGCCGCCAGTATCAGTCCTCATTAATGACTATATATATATCTATATATCTATATATCTATATATATACAATCATATATATATAGGTAATACATATCTATGTTGCTCTAGCTGCTGATTGTTATTTTATACACATTTAAATAAATTCTAAGAACAAATGACATTCAACAACTTACTACTTCTCCAAGCACTTTTTTTTCTGAGTCAAGTGATCGAACACGATTTCTTAAAGCCAGAATTTCTTCATCCAGTCTCTGATTACGTTCCTTTGCTTTCTGTAGGTCAATTGAATCTAAAACAGAGAAAAGAACACAGTTTTTTTTGTTTCTCACACCAGACTAATGAGCTGGATATTTTAAACTTTTTTTTTTTAATGTTTATTTATTTCTGAGACAGAGAGAGACAGAGCATGAACAGGGGAGGGTCAGAGAGAGAGGGAGACACAGAATCTGAGGTAGGCTCCAGGCTCTGAGCTGTCAGCACAGAGCCCGACGTTGGGCTCGAACTCACGGACCGTGAGATCATGACCTGAGCCGAAGTCGGACGCTTGACCAACTGAGCCACCCAGGCGCCCCAGAGCTGGATATTTTGAGGATAGGGTTTTTGGCACTAGAGGCTCTTGGAGGAGATGTACTTTTAAAGCAGTGGAGCCTACCTCCTAGAAGTTCAGCAGCAGAGAAAATTATTTTCCTACTTGCTTGTGGTCCTATCTCTCATACATACCACATACACTCCTAGACACTTCTATTCAGCAACGGTAGGGCCCCACAGATAACAAATGGTGAGCCACGAGCAGCGAATGGACAGATTTTCTAAGCTAAATCAAGTTAATGTATCAAAACCATCTTTCTGCCTGCACCACAGCCCAAAAAATGGTAGTCCACTCTAAGACCTGCTCTTTCCAGGGCTCATCAGTTTCTGTATTATTGCAAACTTGCTATGGGAAACTTTCCTGAATTTGTAGCTGTTTCTTTTTAGCCATTTCCACATATATTTCTCTTATTTTTCTTCTTCTGCTTAAAAGTTTCCTTTGTTGGGACACCTGGGTGGCTCAGTTGGTTAAACGTCTGACTCTTGATTTCGGCTCAGGTCATGATCTCACAGTCTGTGAGTTTGAGCTCCACATAGGGCTCTGGCTCTGTGCTGGTGGTATGGAGCCTGCTTGGGATTCTCTCTCTCTTTCCCTTTCTGCCCCTCCCTTGGCTTGTGCTTCCTCTCTCTCTCTCTCACACACACACACAAATAAAATAAATAAACTTAAAAAAGAGTCTCCTTTGTTTTCCCTCTTTATCACCTGTTTGTATTAATTATTCCTTGTATTTTTCCTTTCTTCCTTTTTTCCCCCTTGCTTCCTTTTCCTTTCCCCCTCTTAGCATGTAATTTTTTTAATTTGAAAAGTGCTGAACACACACCAAAAAGAAAAAAAAATCATTCACAATCCCACCTTGTATATGTGTCAGTGGGTGGGTGCATATATACAGAGACAGAGACATTTGTTTTTTGGCTTGTGCAATTTTTCAAAGATTTAAATGATGCTACACAATCTGTCTGCAACTTTACCATATCGATGTGTGGGTTTTGTTGTTGTTGTTTTGTATCATGGATGTCTTTACAGGACTGTCCTTACAAAGTCATTTGCCATTTCTCATTTGGAACTACTTTTAAATTAGTTTTACTGGTTCTTGGTTTTCATACAAATGGATTCTTAATATACATATTTTTTGTGTGTGAGGCTTCTTTCACTCAATATGTATTTTGGGTATGCAGCTGTGTCATATCAGTAATGTATTCCTCTTTACTTTAGTCCATTTTATTCATACATCACTTACTAATCTACTGGTCTCAACGCATCCTCTCATTTTATTCTGCCCAGTGAGTTCATTTCCCCTACTGACGAAGATTCAGGTGTGTTGCCAATGACTTGCTCTTATAAACAATTCTAAAATCATTATCCTTTTTCATCAATCTTTAGGTACTTATGACATTACTTCCAAAAAACAAACCCCCAGAAATTGGACCACTGGATCAGCTGATATGTGCATTTAGGAAATGTAATAGATACTGCCAAAACAAATTTTCAAAAAGATTGTACAAAGTTACATTCTGTACAATGACACTCCCCATTTGTCCACACTGGAGGTTACCAGAGTTTTAGTTTTCATAAATTTTAAAAATGCAGTTGAATTATGGCTTGTTTTAAATGCAATATTGTTTTGCTGATCACAAATGGAATATAGGCTTTTAGTTAAACAAACAAACAAACAAACAATGTTATGTTCAAACTGAATATTCTCATTTAACCCTTATTCACCACCCTCACCCAAAATAATATTAATACTTAGTAAATACTCTTCAAAAGATTCTATATACACACTCTAACATACAGACAAGGGTTTTATTAAAAATATTTAACAACTCTTAAAGCATGGACCTTCACCTGTAAGAATGAGCTCAGGAGGAAAATTCTAGAGAACTGCCAAGTATTATTCCTTTAGCGGCTGGGAAGACAGGGGCTGGAAGGAGCTGGGATAGTGGGGTAGGTGGTAGACAGTTGAAACACTCAGTGCAGCAGGTATTTACAACTTACGCAAAATTATTCCGGTGTCTTCACGACTCTACTGCCCCACATTAATGTGTACCACTTCATCAAAGTCCTGTGGGCACACACACACATACACCCAGACCCCCAAAATAAAAGCCAAAATAACACTGTCCCGCATATAGTACTGTATAACTTGCTTTTTTCACCTGATAACGTATCACGGACATCTATTTGTGTCATGCACATACATCTGTGTCGTTCTTATTAATAGATGCACAGCCACTTATTTGGCCAATTCATTGTGGAGAAACACAACTACTCCCAAAGTTACTTCTTACTCTCCATACTTTCACAAGTTCTTCTGTAGTCATCAGGGATACTGTGATATTTCCGCCTGGTTTTTGTTATCAGGGTAATGCTGCCCATATGGAAAGTATTCTGTCTTCTTCAATTTTCTGGAAGAATTTATGTAAAATTGGTATTATTTATTCTTTAAAAGTTTTTTAGAATTCACTAGTGAAGATATCTGAACTCAGAGTTTTCTTCATGAGGAAGATTTTTTTTTCAATATATGAAATTTATTGCCAAATTGGATCCCATACAACACCCAGTGCTCATCCCAAAAGGTGCCCTCCTCAATACCCATCACCCACCCTCCCCTCCCTCCCACCCCCCCATCAATCCTCAGTTTATTCTCAGTTTTTAAGAGTCTCTTATGCTTTGGCTCTCTCCCACTCTAACCTCTTTTTTTTTTTTTTCCTTCCCCTCCCCCATGGGTTTCTGTTAAGTTTCTCAGGATCCACATAAGAGTGAAAACATATGGTATCTGTCTTTCTCTGTTTGGCTTATTTCACTTAGCATCACACTCTCCAGTTCCATCCATGTTGCTACACAGGGCCATATTTCGTTCTTTCTCATTGCCACGTAGTACTCCATTGTGTATATAAACCACAATTTCTTTATCCATTCATCAGTTGATGGACATTTAGGCTCTTTCCACAATTTGGCTATTGTTGAGAGTGCTGCTATAAACTTTGGGGTACAAGTGCCCCTATGCATCAGTACTCCTGTATCCCTTGGTAAATTCCTAGCAGTGCTATTGCTGGGTCATAGGGTAGGTCTATTTTTAATTTTCTGAGGAACCTCCACACTGCTTTCCAGAGTGGCTGCACCAATTTGCATTCCCACCAACAGTGCAAGAGGGTTTCCGTTTCTCCATATCCTCTCCAGCATCTATAGTCTCCTGATTTGTTCATTTTGGCGACTCTGACTGGCATGAGGTGATACCTGAGTGTGGTTTTGATTTGTATTTCCCTGATAAGGAGCGACGTTGAGCATCTTTTCATGTGCCTGTTGGCCATCCGGATGTCTTCTTTAAAGAAGTGTCTATTCATGTTTTCTGCCCACTTCTTCACTGGGTTATTTGTTTTTCAGGTGTGGAGTTTGGTGAGCTCTTTATAGATTTTGGATACTAGCCCTTTGTCCGATATGTCATTTGCAAATATCTTTTCCCATTCCGTTGGTTGCCTTTTAGTTTTGTTGGTTGTTTCCTTTGCTGTGCAGAAGCTTTTTATCTTCATAAGGTCCCAGTAATTCACTTTTGCTTTTAATTCCCTTGCCTTTGGGGATGTGTCGAGTAAGAGATTGCTACGGCTGAGGTCAGAGAGGTCTTTTCCTGCTTTCTCCTCTAGGGTTTTGATGGTTTTCTGTCTCACATTCAGGTCCTTTATCCATTTTGAGTTTATTTTTGTGGATGGTGTGAGAAAGTGGTCTAGTTTCAACCTTCTGCATGTTGCTGTCCAGTTCTCCCAGCACCACTTGTTAAAGAGACTGTCTTTTTTCCATTGGATGTTCTTTCCTGCTTTGTCAAAGATTAGTTGGCCATACATTTGTGGATCTAGTTCTGGGATTTCTATTCTATTCCATTGGTCTATGTGTCTGTTTTTGTGCCAATACCATGCTGTCTTGATGATTACAGCTTTGTAGTAGAGGCTAAAGTCTGGGATTGTGATGCCTCCTGCTTTGGTCTTCTTCTTCAAAATTGCTTTGGCTATTCGGGGCCTTTTGTGGTCCCATATGAATTTTAGGATTGCTTGTTCTAGTTTTGAGAAGAATGCTGGTGCAATTTTGATTGGGATTGCATTGAATGTGTAGATAGCTTTGGGTAGTATTGACATTTTGACAATATTTATTCTTCCAATCCATGAGCAGGGAATGTCTTTCCATTTCTTTATATCTTCTTCAATTACCTTCATAAGCTTTCTATAGTTTTCAGCATACAGATCTTTTACATCTTTGGTTAGATTTATTCCTAGGTATTTTATGCTTCTTGGTGCAATTGTGATATTTGGGGATTTTTTAAACATACTTCTGTTATTGCTTTTCAGTTTAATTCTATTATGGTCAGAGAACATAATTTGTGATTTCAGTTCTTCCACAGAAATGTATTTTATGGCTCAGTATGGTCTCTCCTTGTGAACATTCCATGTATACCTGAAAAGAATGTGTCATCTGGTGGAGTTTGCTATAATTATCAATTATAGAAATTATCAAAAATTTCCATAATTATCAATTTCTATAATTATCATGTTGGCTGGTAGTGTTCTTAAGTCTTCCATATCTTTACTGATTTTGTTTTATTGTTCTATCAATTACTAAGGAGGCAGTGTTTATAACTGTATCACATACTTTTGAAAAGGAGGGTTAACAATCCTGATCACCAATTACAATGTTAGGGTTCTTTTCTCCTATACATCCAAGCAATCATTGGACACCAGCCAGGCATCCTATAATTCCACTCAATTCTGACACTATCTAGCTGGAGATAACATCAGATTGCACAGTTTAAGGGTTCAGTCCCACAAGAATGTTCGCCACTTCAGATGCCAATGGCAAGCTCATGTTGTTATGTGTGCTTCTGACTGACTGGTTATAAATCAGAGGTTGCCACGACCCCCATCTTGGTCTGATTACTTTGTTAGAGTGGCTCACAGAATTCAGAGAAACATTTTACTCACTAGATTGCCAGTTTATTATAAAAAGATATAACTCAAGAATAGCCAGATAGAAGAAATGCACAGGGCAAAGTATGAGTAAAGGGGTGAGGAGTTTCCATGTCCTCTCTGTGGACACCACTCTCCCCAAATCTCCATGTGTTCACTGACCAGAAGCTCTCCAGACCCTGTTCTTTGGGGTTTTTATAAAGGCTTCATTCATAGGCATAAGTAATTAAATCCATTGGCCATTGGTGACTAAACTCAGTCTCCAGCCCTGTCCCCTTCCAGCATTGGTAAACCAGGGGCTTTCCAAGAGTCCTCATTAACAAATTTCCACATGGGAAATTTGCAGGGTTTTAGAAGCTTGGTGTCAGAAACAGGGCCAAAGACTAAATATAAATTTCTTATTATAAATCACAGTATCACTGGGTAAGCTCAATTTTAGAATTATTTAAAACTGGTAACACGTTTTTAATTATTTTTGTAGTTGCTAACCATTACAACACTCAACTTTTGTTGTATTATTTATAGTTGGTAGCATTTTTACAGTCAAGCCAGGGACAGGTTAACTAATTCACCATGGATTCCAAGCCTATTGGCTTCCCAGTGAACACGTGTGTGTGAAGTATTGTAAAATTCATCATAAGGTGTCTTGATGTCAGGGGCAAAATAGGTATTATTTGTGTTGACCACAGGTTTTGGAGTTAGATACATGAGTATCTGACTAACCCAGATATGTGGGTTCTAATACTCACTCTGCATTACTTAATTCATTAATACTTAATGTAGCTATTGGATAGCTCACTTAACCTGCCATAACTCAGTTTTTTTTTTGTATTTGAAATGGGAATAATAATACTACTTGGAAGGGTTGTGAGGATTAGAGTTCATGCATATAAAGTGCCTGGGAGAATACCTGTTACTTAGTAAGCAGTAAGTGATAGTAGTAGTAATAGTAGTAGAAATAAGTAGTAACAATGGCAATAGTGCTTTATTATTATTATTATTAAAGATATTATTATATTAAAACATATTTAATACACATTAAATTATTGTTTAATGTATTATTAAACATTATATCTACTAACATGCATGACTCACCATTCTCTTTCAACTTTATCAAATTTTCTTTCAAGTGTTCTATTTCTAGTTGAGCCTTCTTAAGTGCAGAGTCTAAAGAAAAAAGAAACAAAATATTTCTGTAAGGAGTGAATGGTTAGTGTAATGATCAAATCTGAAGTGTTCTCCTGTTTTGGAACACTCTATTTCTGCTGATTTTCCTTTAAGTTTCTGCATAAATGTCACCTCCAGGAAGCTTTTCCAGACTCCTTTTAGTGTTCCTGCTGCACCTTATTATTATTCCTGATTATCTGATCTGACAATATTTCTGTTTCCCTAACTAGATTCCATGCTGAAGAGTTTGGGACTACTATAAACAAATAGAAAAAAAGCTAAACTTTTTAAGCATGGTATTATCAGCTTTAAAAAAAGAAAATTATACTCAGAAATATTAAAATTAGTTCCTGCAATTAGTAATATTTAGAATTTTACCAGTAGTTGCTAGAAATATCAAAACAACAGAATTTCATGAAGTATCTTTTGATACTATTCAAGAATTATATGAAGATGGCAGAATGGTATAGGGCAAGAACTTGGAGCATTGGAGTCAACCGGATTTGCGTTTTCTAATCCAGGTTTTATCATTTGGCCTCCTGGAGTCTAGTCATCACCAATGGTATGTCTGGTTGGCTTCCTATGTCAGGATGAAGAACCTCCGAGAGGTAAGAGACTAAGGTGAATCTTATGAGATCATTCCTAATCACAAAGTAAGTACATCAGCACAATCGTGCATGTCTCATTATTGATCCCCAAACGCTCAGTTCTTTGGAGTGAATCCTAGTCTAATCTACCAGATTCACCTAAAATTAGATTCTGACCATAACAATACTATTACTGCCACTGCTACTGGCAACAGCAGTTACTAGCGTCAGATGTATTAACATTGTAACAAACCTTCAGAGTAGATATTAGCATTCTCATTTTATAGATAAGATAAGGGAGGCTCAGAAGAATTAACCAACTTGCTCAATGTCACACAACAAGCAAATGGTAAATCTGAGATCTGAACTCAGGTCTGTTTGACTACACTGTGCCAGAGATGTAAGAATTACTCTGTTTTACTAAAACAATGATTTTCCAAAGTGTTCATCTATGGAAAGAGAGGGAGTAGAATGATAGCAGGTGGAAGGATGTTTCAGAGAGAGTGAAGAGCATAAATGAAAGAGAATGGGTAGGAGAGAACATTGAGTGTTCTGGGGACTGTATGTAGTCTGATACTGCTTGGGCCTACAGAGCAAAGGATTAGGGGAAATGTGGGATATGAAGCTGGATAGATACGCAGGAGGCAAACCAGAAAAGCCTTAGAGAGCTCAGAATTTACTCTACACAATAAATTTTTTTATGGAAGCTTAAAGTACCAAGGAGGTAATTGAGAGGTTCTGTGAACATTAGATTTAATTTCCACTTAAAAAAAAAAAAACCTATTTCTACAATAACACATACACCAAATATGTCATATACCAAAGTCAGGTATATCAGAGACCACCAAATGCATGAACTCGTACTGCCAGGTTAGCATCTCCTGTCATGTCCACACAGATATTTGAAAATCATAGCTCTCTCTCAGAGCATTTAAACTAGTAATATTTCTAAAACTGTGTTGGTTTTATGACCAAGTTTCTATGACCTCTCTACTGTTTGACAGTTTTATTTTCTAAGTCTACTCCTTTTAGTGGTTGTCCTGGGTATTTTTTTAAGAACTTTTTTTATTAAGGAAAATTTCCAACATATACAAAAGTAGATAGAACAGTTATGGAAACACCTATATCTATCATCCAGCTTTTTTTTAAAATCATCCAGCTTTTAACAATTATCAAGCCATGGCCAATCTTGTTTCATTTATATCCATAACTATTATACACTAGTTTTCTAATGCTGTAAAGCAAATCACCACAACTCAGTGACTTAAAATGAGGGTACCTGGGTAGCTCAGTTGGTTGAGTGTCTAACTCTTGATTTTGGCTCATGTCATGATCTCGAGATTCGTGAGAGGCTGAAATCAAGGTATGAGCTGGGTATGAGCTGGGTGTGTGCATCTCTGAGGTATTGGGAAAGAATGCAGTTCCAAGCTCACTCAGGCAGCAGGCTGAATTCAGTCCCATGGTTGTAGGACTGAAGTCCCCATCTCCTTGCTAACTGTTAGCCTGGGAGCTCTATCAGCTTTTTTTTTTTTTTTTAATTTTTTTTTTCAACGTTTATTTATTTTTGGGACAGAGAGAGACAGAGCATGAACGGGGGAGGGGCAGAGAGAGAGGGAGACACAGAATCGGAAACCGGCTCCAGGCTCTGAGCCATCAGCCCAGAGCCCGACGCGGGGCTCGAACTCACGGACCGCGAGATCGTGACCTGGCTGAAGTCGGACGCTTAACCGACTGCGCCACCCAGGCGCCCCTCTATCAGCTTTTAGAAGCAACCAACATTCTTTGCCACGTGGTCTCTTCCATCTTCAAAGTCAGCAAAGGAGAATTTACCTCACATCAAATCCTTCTCACACTTTGAATATCTTCTTCAGGGAAAAGCCTAACCTCTTTTGAGGGCTCGCCTGATCAGGTCAGTCTCACTTAGGATAATCTCTCTTTCTTAAAGCCAATTGATTTGGGACCTTAACTACATCTGCAAAAGCTCTTCATAGCAGCATCTATATTGTAGTTGATTTTTGAATAACTTGGAAAAGGTATGTGTATACCAGGTGAGGCTTGTGGAGACCATCTTAGATTTCTATCTAATACACCTATTTCCACCAGTTCTTCTATTTTTAACAGCTTTATTGAGGTGCAATTTATATACCATAAAATTTGCCTTTTTAAAGTGTACTATTAAATGACTTTTAGTATATTTACATTTGTGGAACCCAACACAATCTGATTTTAGAACATTTCTATCACCCCATTGAGAAACCTCATGCCCATTTAGTTAACCCTAATTCCCACTCTTAGCCCTGGGCAACCATTAATCTACTTTGCCTTTTCTGGACACTTCATATAAATATAATCATACAATATGTGACCTTTTGCATCTGACTTCTTTACTTAGCATTATGGTTTTGAGATTCATCCATGTTGTAGCAAGCGTTAAGTATTTGGTTTTTACAGGCACATTGTCTTCCATTGCATGAGTGTTTGGAGTCCCCTAAATCACTCCCAGGTTCGGTGACTCTTAGGACTTGCCTCACTGGACTAAAGACATACTAATAGTCACAGCTGATACTTACTACAACAAAAGGATACAAAGCAAAATCAGCAAAGATAAAAGGTGCATGGGGCAAAGGCCAGAGGAAATCCGGCTCCAGCTTCCAAGAGTCTTCTCCAGTGGAGTCACACAGGGTGTGGTTAATTTCTCCAGCAACAAACTGATCATACATGTGAAGTATCTTCTATCAGGGGAGTTCATTAGAGATTCAGTGCCCAAGGTTTTTGTTTGGGGCTAGCTAGTCACATATATACCACTTCTGCCCACCAGGTACCAAAATTCCAGATTCTCAGAAGGAAGGCAGGTATTGAGCACTGTGATACTGCAATTTGTGATTAGAAATATAGATTTGACCTTATCTTCAACCCATTTCTGGCACAGAGATCCTAAAACCTTTGGAATTTCCTAAGTGATGAGAGCAATAAAGCGATCTTATGTTAATGAGGTGACTTTTGGCCAGCAATTAACAACAGGGGCTGGTTTCCAGGAGAACCAACCATGGGATTAGAGGTCCTATCCTCTGACTTCCAGGGACAGGAGAGGAGCAAGAGGTTGAATCAATTACCAATAGCCAATGATTTAATCAACCATGCCTGTAGTGAAACCTCTGTAAAAACCCAGAAGGAGAGGGTTTGGAGAGCTTCTGGGTTGCTGAACACATGGAGGTTTGGGGAGGATGGTGTAGTCAGAGAGGACATGGAAGCTCTGCACCCCGTCCCCATACTTTGCCCTATGCGTCTCTTCCATCTGGCTATTCCTAAGTTATATCCTTTCATAATAAACCAGTAATCTAGCAAATTAAGTATTTCTCTGGGTTCTATGAGCCACTCAAGCAAATTCATCAAACCCAAGGAGGGGGTAATTGGAAATTCCAATCTATAGCCAGTTGGTCAGAAGCACAGGTGATACCCTAGGCTTGCAACTGGCATCTGAAGGAGGGGAGCAGTCTTACAAGACTGAGCCTTAGCCTGTACAATCTGACACTATCTTCAGGTAGACAGCATCAGAATTAAAGGTAAATAGTGTCAGAATTAGTTGAAATGTAGGACACCCAAATGATGTCCAAGAATTGCTTGGTGGTGTGAGAGAAACACCCCTCTCCCACCTTGAAATTGTATCCTGGGACCCTAATTAAGTATAAACCACACTGTTTGCACAAACAGTTTAGGCACAGTGAGCCCCTATTATCAGTTAGGGAATGGTGGGAACACTCCCAAAATTCAAGTTCCCAGATGCTAGTCAAGGGCTGACTTCACAAGCATGCCTTTCTAAAGACAGCAGTGTCAGGTCTCTGTTAACTATTTCCTACACAGAATTACTGTATCACATTTTGTTTATCCATTCATCCAATGAGAGACATTTGGGTCACTTCTATCTTTTGACTATTGTAAATAGTGCTCTGAACATTCGCATGCACATTTCTCTTGGGTAGATACCTCAGAGTTAAATTGATGGGCCACATGATAATTCTACATCTAACATCTTGAGAAACTGTCAAATTATTTTCCAGTGTCTGCACCATTTTACATTCCCGTCAGTAATATATGAAGGTTCTAATCTTTCCACATCCTTACCAACACTTGTCATGCTTTGTTTTGTTTTTTTTTTTGTTTGTTTTTGGTTTTTTATAGCCATTCTAGTGTGTGTGTACTGGTATCTCATTGTGGTTTTAATTTGCACTTCCCTCGTGACTAATGATATTGAGCATCTTTTCATATATCTTCTCCAGAGAAATGTCTACCCAAATATTTTGCTCATTTTTAAATCAAGCTTTCTTTTACTATTATCAGAATTCTTTACATATTCTAAATATAAGTCCTGTATCAAACATGATTTGCAAACATTTTCTTCTAGTCTGTGAGTTG